GGGGGGGGGAGAAAATTGAATGAGCTATCTGTGATTTATAGTTTCCATATTTATATTATCTGTGCATGGCTGTTTCTTAATTGTTTTTGAGTTTGTTTTTTGTTGTGGTTTTATTATTTTTGTATCAGGGACATTTTTTGTATTCTCTTAGTAATAGTGGGTGGTTGGCGGGTGCTCTGGTGTGGTCAGCTCCTTCTTTCCTATCAAACATCTATCGTCCTTATCTCTCCTCCTTCTTTTTTGTGTTTGTTACTTTCTTCTAACACCTCTGATCTTCGGCACATACATGACCTTATTGTGTTGCAAGTGCCGTAAAACTCGTACTCAAACTAAACTCTTAATAATATGCTAAGAATATTAAGAGAGCTTGTGTACGAATGTGTCACTTATGGTCATAGCATGAAAAGACACACTGCTTTAGTAGATACTTTCATCAGACAAACTCTACACTATATTTATTATTATTGTTTGCTTCAGATCAAAGGCCTTCACCTCAGCCTAACTCATCCCATGCAATGGGGATTTCTCTGGTTTTGCCACACTATTTTGGCACTTGTTCTTTTATTTTTGATGATGATAAAAAACAATGTTTCTTGTGTCTGTACTATGTATCATTTTTATGATAAGCGGGACTTGTCATACATCACATTCACCAGAAACAGATAAGGAATGACAAATCTTATAATAGAAACTAATAAACAGGAAAATTATTGGCATAGAAGCACTCAGTTATGGCATAATCTGGACAAGTTTTTTTCTGCAGTCTACCTATAGATGGTTGGCATAAAATGAGTGAATGCCTAGTCCATTGTACAATACCATTACTTCTTAGACAAGATTTTGCTAAATGATTACAAAGTCCAAGGCAAGGTGTAGTCCAAAAATAACATACAGAACTAGTCTGGACAGCTAGTTAATTTGCTTCCTAAACTTGCTTGTCATGATCTCTCTTTTCCCAGGAATGAAATGAAGACAATAACTGCATACCATTTACAAACCATCCTCACACACATATATATAGAACACTTTATCTAGGGGCACAAAGGGGAATCAATATAACAACGATGCAGAAGTGAAATGTGGAGGCAATTCAAAGGAAAATTGCTTGAATTTTTGGCGGTGCAGAGCCTTAAGATTTTGCACATTGGAGTACTGGTGTTGATAAAGATAATGATTATGTAGACTAATAAAGGTAGAATTTTGTAGCACAAATCCTCAGTTTTCATTTTGAATAACATTTTGCATTCATGAGGTGATTGTTTTTAAAAAATTATAATGGAGGAAACAAGATTTTTATTTTGTAAGTCTACATAATATGTTTCTGTTAGCTCTATCGCTGTTTTTCTACAGGGACATCAATGAATTAGCCCCTAAGAACAGCACAGCAAAAGTTTTGCTGCTCGGCTCCTTTGACCCACAGAAGGAGCTCATCATACAAGATCCTTATTTCACCCATGTAAGTGATTTCCTCATTTGGGACTTTTTTTCATACAAGTGACTATTGTTGCAGTATTTCCATTTTGCTTTTTGTCGCCACTGTTTCGTTCTTTCAAAATCTTTTTTTTAACTCTTGTGAAAAATACTGTTACCTGTATAACCTCCTGTTTGTGTATTTTAGTACATTTTGTATTCTCGAAGTACAATATGATAATGAACTAATTTAAACACTGAATGTACTTGCATACCACAGGTATTATTACTAATATTGAATTTTGTGAAGCTCTTTTTACTGCTGTTTCAATTTCGACACTTAAGTTGGCACTTAAACAGGTGCCGTAAGACAACTTTATATTATTCCGTAAGCTACCTGTGTCCATTCAAGTCCTGAATACTGTTGACACCTCTCTGTCTCCTTTATATTTTTTACTTTATTTCGAATAAACATGTGATGTGCCGTTTTGTTCTCTTTTCTTTATCCTTGTTTCCCTTGAAAGAGCATTTGAATATCAAAGCCCCAAGATCTGGAACGCTTTGCCTAGTAGTTTAAGCAGTCCTTTCACTCTTCCGTATTTGTTCGGAAATCCATACTTTCTGCCAGTTTCGTACTTGTTCCTCCATCATTATCAACTCCCTCCGTAAAAATCTGCGACAGCGTTAGACTACCAAAATTCCGTAGCAAAAAATACTCGCCTTCGTATCGTCTTGTATAAGTTACGGATATTTATGGTTATTCTCTCGGCAATAGTTTATGTTATAGAAACCTGCCAGATTGTGCACATCCTGCCCTCTGCCATTATTCCGCTATACCCCATGCATTCATTGCGGGTTGGTCGGCTGTACATTTTTTACCTGCAGATTGATCAAAATCTGGCGAACTTTTTGTGCCATTTTCCTCCTCTCTATCATTCCCTCATTCCGTCTGTCTATCTTCGGATTGTTGCTGCGACTTGAAAATATGCGCGTTGATCAAGTAAATTGACATGTGATCTTAACAGAAAATTACTGTCGGAAAGAAACTTATTATCTAGATCTAGAGAAATTATCAGTGCGAAGCTTCTACGGCACGGGAACGCGATAAGGGCCGCGATGAAAGAAACTTGTGCTAAAACTACTAAAATTACTAAAAATCAAGCATAATTCGAAGTGGTGTTCCGAGGTTGTGTCATGCGACATTCAGACGTGAAAATTGAGGAAAATTAGGGTATACGCTGGGCAACTGTATTGTGAAGGTACATATCTATTCATTGTTCTCAGGTTTTCCTTCTATCAATGGTGCGATGACAGATTAATTGAATTATGGTAGCAATGGGAGAGGAACCTGCTTTTAAACATTCCCAGCAATGGAAAGATCTGTAGGTGAAGAAATCAAACAAGATAAAATCTTGGTGAAAAAATAGGTAGTATGGGTTCTCTTCAAACAGGCTCCCAAATGCCATTTTCAACCCTCTAAAAGTACTAAATTTCTATTTCATTGGGGGCTTCGCCCCCTGAACCCCCATCGGGATGCTGTCCCTGGACCCTGCTGGGGCGTGTACAGCCCCCAGACCCCCTTTTTCTTCAGAACACAACGTTATTATGTTACTGTTGTATTGTGAAGTGCTCAGAACCTGTGTACTTTAATCTGGGTTGAGTGCTATATAAATGCCATTTATATTTATTATTATTATTATTATTTCCCCAGAGCCGGAACAAGAACGCTTTCAACGAAGTGTACGACCAGTGTCTCAGATGCTGTACCGCGTTCTTAGATTCTGTCTCCAAGTGATAGGAACGGAGGCTGTCGCTTTAACTGGAGTGTGGATTGGTGTTATTGTGTTATTGCGCTTTGTTGGTGGATTTGACGAGATGGTATCTGTTGGTGCTTTATATTTGTTATTTTTAAAAGAGTTTCTTATTCTTATGATTTGACCAGGGTATGCATGGTGTAGCCGTTAGGTCATTTACTGCTGCATGCTGAAGATGTGAGTTTGATTCCCAGGAGGAGATAAATTTTTATTGAATATCTCGGTCTTTCAGCTGGCAGGACGTTGTATCCCTCTCAGCTTGGTTTAACTCTGATAGGCAGGGTCGAAGTCCGCTTCCCAAGTTATCTAGAGAGTGCCGATGGGGGTGTAAAGATCACCTACATGTTTGAATTTTCTCATTTGTTGAACAACAGTGTATTTGTGCTGAATTCGTCCCTGTGATGCGTCATATAATTTTAACAGAAAGTCAAACAGAAACAAGAGCATTTTTTTTGTAGCAGGGAAATTGTATGCTTAACACGCATTTGTCTCTCCCTCGATCCATTTCCGCATGTTGTCTTTATTTTCCCCTGTAGTGTGTAAGGCCATCATTTTATTTCTCTTTGACTCTGACAAGAACGTAAACCACATATTGTGGTTTCAATGTATTAATATTATTTGCATGGTTTGTGTTTAACTCTTTCACTACGTATTTTTCTAGCTTCCAGTGGATAATGTCTTCTACCTTAGGGCACCTGCATAGTCCACCTATTCGTTTTGTTTGCAAAGTATGACATACTAATATGTAAAGTATAACGTATTACAGTGGAACTCGGATTCAACTAGCTCGGATTCAACGAGAACCTGGATTCAACGAGATGAGATAGATTCCCCTTTTTTTTTTCTTATTTAAAATCAATAAAAATAACCCGGATTCAACGAGCTCTTAAATCAGCGAGATCGGATTCAACGAGGTCACTTCCAGGGTGAATAGCCCCTGTAGACGTGGCTTTTCTTCAAGAACTAACTTTATCTATTCCCGGAATCCATCCATTGCACTTGCATCGTGAACCATTAATCACTTACGCGGGGCACTAGCGGTCCGGGCATTGAACGTCGCAGATACAAAACACGTTAGTCTTTTTTTCCCCCTCGGCAACTAATCATTATTACAATGTTAAGCTAGTCTTTATGTAGATCTACGTAATGAATTGTGAGCTGGTCTATGGAATCAAAAGTTGCCGTATGCTGGGCTCTACCCAGCAACAAAAGTTTTTCGTAAATGATCGAGATGACACAGGGGTGTGCATTTGAACGAATCGGTCTTGTTTTTTTACACAGCTCATAATTTGCAGGCATTTCAGGCACTACTTGTGACTTCTGTTCACACATTACTTGCTCAGTGCCTGTAATTGTCTACACAAAACGTCGTGTTTGCTGTTACGAACACTCGAATTCAACGAGATTTTAGGTTAGGCCCGGCGACCTAGTTGAATCCGAGTTCCACTGTATATTATATCAAATTTTTTTTTTACGTTGAAAGGGGAATTTAAAAAAAAAAAAAGAACATTTTTCAGACCAAAATTTTGATAATGTTTCGAAAATTCTAGACTGGAAGACATCCAGTATAAAGGTATAGTTGAGCTGATGATACGGCTCGTAGTAATGAAGAGGAAGATGCTGAGTTGATCAGACTGTTCTTCGTAGTGAATGAGTTAATAGCAAGTAGATTTATTTCCCTTTTCTATGACATTGTCTTCAAATGTTATTTACAAATTTCAGTCAGTCTGTTTGAATAGAATTTTATAATATTATAAAGTGATGGAGGCCAAATAAAATTTTGATAATACTGATTCGGTTACTTCTTGGTGTGAACAAGTGCGGGTATGAGTGGAAGTCTGACAAAATGTAACATCCAATAATGCTGTGTATGTCTTTAACCAGTTTGTGACCTGTGTGACATACACAGTGTGTCATTGGCCCGACGTTGTGTCCTTGGGAAAGGCGCTTTGCACAAATTTTCCTCACTTCACCCAGGTGGAAATGGGTACCCAGCTATAGACAGTGAAAGATCCTGTCAGTTTGATAGTGTTTGAGCTTGTGAATTCCACAGCTTGCACTGTATGCTTCTGCGGAAGCTGAGAATGTTTCTGAGTCTTCTCAGAGGGTCTGCTGGGGTAATAATAGTTGTAAAGCGCATAGAGCAAGCTCTTGAGCATGGATATGCGCTATATAAATGCAATTATTATTATTATTATTATTTCTTCTTCTTATGCGGCGAAGGAGCCATGATGCTGCTGTGATGTACGGCGTTCGTTATGCCTTGTAGGTGGTTGGCGAGTGCTCTGGTCTGGTTTTCTCCTTCTTTCCTATCAAACTTCTATCGTCCTGATCTCTTCTCCTTCTAAATTGTGTTTGTTATTCTCTTGTAACTCCTCTAATCTTCGGCACTTTTTGACGTTTTTGTGTTGCAAGTGCCGTAAAACTCTTATTAAAACTAAAACGTCATGCCTTGCAATAGCTGAGGATCATGACGGCGAACGTCTTTCGTCATAGGTTTTACTCTGCACACTGCTTCTATTAGATGCTTTTCGTAAAGCTTATTGCAGATTTTAATATAGGAATTTTTTGGGGTACCATACAAAGAAATATTTGCCTTTTAGATATTTTTAGTAATAGTATTTGCAAACCTAGTCTAATTATAGGAAACTGACCGCTTTTCTTTTTTTTTTTGGTCAAAGTTTTTCGGCGTTCGCAACTGCATAAGGTCATATGAGCGCCAGAAGATTAGAGGTGTTACAAGAGAGTAACAAACATAAAAAAAGAAGAAGGGGAGATAAGGGTAATAGCTCTATGATAGGAAAGAAGGAGCAGACCACACTAGAGCACCCGCCAACCACCCACTCACTAACTCTAGCGCTACTCTGTGGATCCAAAACTGTGCCCGTTGATGCTTGAACTGACCCTTTATCACGAAGGGGTTTAAAGAGTTCTTGTCAGAAGACTATTTGTGACTCTGACTGGACGTGTCGGAGCAAACAAAATGTAAGAAAGACAAAAAAACAACCCGGAAAGTAAAGAAATAGGATCTGCCATCCATAGTGACGCCCTCCAACCATCTGCTCTGAAATCCTGTTATGAAGAAGACAAAAATAATAGTTATAAAAACTGCTGTTCATCTGTGTTGAAAAAAAAAAATAGATACAATGTATATATATATTATATTACAAATTATATATACTGAATGTTAACTATCATTGGTATCATAGAAAAAAGTATTGTACAATTGTACAGTACAGGGTTTGTACTGGAAGGGAAGTAACCCCTATAATATCGAAATAGTATACCCATGACATGTTATGACATGTATTAAATTACAAAACTGTTTTCCATTTTGCACGTACTGCTGGTTTGTTCTATACCCAGGGACATTACTATACCTGTGCGACTGCTACGATACAACAGTCGCAATTGTCCAAGACGGCCACCCATTGCAGGGGAGGAAAGTAGTTGTCTCAGACAGATGGATGTCTTGAATAGTAATAGATCTAGTGTCATTTATAAATAATATTTTAAAAACTCAACTGAGAAAGTTGGTAAATTGTTGTTTGTGCCAGTGATTGTCTTGGACAAGTGGCCTTTTAAGCTGGGTTTTTTTTATAGTAGAAGTCATGACTTAATTTTTCTGCACCCCGTACACTAAACAAGATGTTTAAAATTGGCTGCTCTAAACCGTCAATTTATAATGTAGAATACACAAAACTTAAATTAATTGACTTAATTTCAATGCTTTGCTGAATCCAATGTCTTAAATTGGCTACGAGGTTGGCTAACAGAGAAATCACAGGAATTAGCTCGGAACAATACATGTATTGCTTAGTTAGCGTGATATCTATAAATACATTATTATTATTATGTACAATCAAACCTCATACATTATACCGCCTACATTATTATTGGGACTAGCAAGAAGTTGGCAGTACAGCATGGCTGGTGGCATAAAGTGGTTAGACATGGTGGCCTAGTGGTTAGGCTACCGGACTCGTTTAATCGTGAGGTTGCGGGGTCGGGGGTTCGAGCCGCGGGCCCGACGTTGTGTCCTTGGGAAAAGCACTTTACACGAATTTTCCTCGCTCCACCCAGGTGAAAATGGGTACCCTGCCATAGACAGCGAAAGATCTTGTCAGTATGTTAGTGTTTTAGCACCTATAAATGGCTGCTTGTACTGTATACTTCCCAGGAAGTTGAGTTTGTTTCAGAATGCTCTCAAGGTCTGCTGGGGTACAGTATAGATTGTGAAGCATATGAGCTTGCTGTTGAGCGGTAATTTGCGCTATACAAATGCTATATATTATTATTTATTATTATAACTGGATAGCACCGATTGCCATCTTGACTAGTGGTAGACTCGTATAAGAGACTATAGAGACATTAAACTGAAGCCAGTCTTGATGAATCTCTGTCTTTGCACGATAACCATACTCCGGGTGTGTGTGTGTGGGGGAGGGGGGAGGGGGCGACAAGTAGCAACCGATTACAATGTAGGCCTACAGCTCCCGCTGAGCCTAAGGTTAATTCAAATTGAAAATTGTATTATGTCTGTCGGATCAGAAGCTAAGCCTGCGTCAAGGAAACTGTAGATCTAGATCGTACTTAAAAAATTTAAATTTTGTTGTCGTTTTTGTTTTCTCTTTCTTTTTGTACCCGGTACTCGTCTGTCTTCAGGCCACCTATAATTAATCTTTCACGTAGACTTGAGCGTGAGTCCTCACCATAATATTCAAAAGGTTCCCGGTTTCGTGCCTGCCAACCTTTTGGTCATTGGTCTGGGATGTCTCATGATGACGCCAACGATCGATACAGGCCGAGGTAGCCCAGTATCTCCAGGCGACTTTATAATGTAATTCCTACTTCTTTTTTAAATGTTTGCCAATCTTAAAAATAGAAGCATTTCCACAATCAGTATCAGGAGACAATCAACAAGCGAGAGAAAATGCGGAGCTTCACTAGAGACGTGTATGTGTGGGGGAAAAGTTTATCTAGCAAACACCGGGACCTATGCACGTGTACTGGGTGTTATATTATATTGGTGTATCTCTGGCGGCCATGCTTTTCGCTGGCAGTACAGTCAAACCTGCCCTGACGGCCACCTCTATAAGACGGTCACCTGTACAAACGGCCCCTTTCCATTTCCCCCCTTGCGTTTTTTTCTATATAATTTAACTGTGTAAAACGGGCACCTGTCCAACGCGGCCGCGGCCACCACAATTTAACACACAACCCCTATCCCAATGAGCAATAACACCTGTCTTAGACGGCCATCTTAGTGACTCCATTACGTTTTGTCATAGATTGTGCATTGGCCCCTGGCGTTGTGGGCGAGCCGTCATAATTCA